ACCCGACACACTCGAATGATTCGCATGTTCTCTAGATATTTACGTACAATATAGGCACCTTTTGCCAGTCTCAGTCAGTTTCAGGCCGTCAGTGGGATCCCCATTGCTATTCTTTAAAGTAGTATGTAGCCATGAGCATGGTGATACACTCAAAAGCCTTTTTTAAGAGAGAGAGAGAACATATTTGGGTGGATGAAAGAGTAGTATTACTGGGCATAAATATATCGTTAATTTGGTTGGTTGGTTGTTCCAATTCTTTATTTGGTTTCAGGGGCAAATTCTATTTTTTAAGCATAAATACTTGAATAAAAACAAACTGTAAATATAGTAGATAGATACAAGATCCTATATCTCAGGCCTGAGACATTTAGATATCTTATTTTTATCCTTCATCATTTTTCTGCTGAGCTCTCTAAATATAATAAATGGTAAATAGTATTTATTTACTTAAATATATGAGGCTGAAACCTAGCCCCAATCCGTTTTTCGCCAAATTTTCTCAAAATTCAACCTCCAACAAACAGCTCCACCCCGAGTCCTTAGATACTGGGTAATCCCCCAGTCTCCAGCCAGCCCAGGGTCCATGTCTGCGGGTTTATGCACAAATGCCTTGTTTTGGGTTCTTTGACAACAATTGACCTTTCTGACGTTTCGATCCTGCATGTGTCCCCGCTAGCTACATTGCCATCCTTGGTGAAACGAACTATATTTGGACCCATCATCAGCATTGCAACTCCCCATGCCTCTGTGCCTGCATCTGAGAAATTTCAGGACAAACTACTCCTTAGGGTAGCTAAAGACTACTATCCTGAACCCCACCAGCAGAAGTGGCAGCAGTTGGGGCGAGGGGAAACAAAAGTGCTGGGCCTGCAGCCCCCGGCTTTACCAGGATTGATTTCTGGACGACAAGTCCAAAACAAAGGGAATCATTAAAATATACCCTCGACCGGGTTGCTGCAGGTCCCCCCCCCGAAATCCTTGCGCCCCCTACCCTACCTCTCGGCCAAATTAATTAATTTTGTCCACCATGTCCTTCGCAACATTCACCTCCTTTGAAAGCCAACGGAGTCTCCTGCAGACGTTGGCGATCAAAATAACCAGCGAGAACAGCAGCAACGACAACAGCAGCAGCAGAACTACCGCTACAACCCTATATCTTCTACCGCTAATAATAATTCTAATATTCCGACATCTTTCCCTTCTCCCACCCTAACAAACCCTGATATGATCCTCCCCTACGATAACGAGCGTGAATGCTCCACGCCTTCGCCCCCCTTTCGTCCCCTCCAACTCCCGTCGCCAGAACACTCCGGTTATCGTCGCAGTTCTGCACAGACGGATAACGGATTACATGTTTCGTCTGCGGGAATTGGTGTAGCGCTTTCCGCCACGACGGGCTCATCGCACAATTATCAACAGCGAAACCCTCCTCCACGGAATAATTGGGTATTTGCGGGGCATGAGGTTCGCCCGCCGCTGTCAGATATTGGAGAAGAGGATTCTCCTACGCGCTCCAGATGGGGTGGAGATGATGACGATATGGAAATAAACGAGATGGTTTTGGATAGTGCACTGATTCTGAAACCTCAATGGCGCAACAGCAACAACATCAATAACGAGATGCTAGGGCATGGTATCAATCGTGACGCAGATGGCAATCACGATGATTGCAGTGCTACCGAGGAGGATACCGTAAGCTGCAGTGCGTCTAGTTCGACAATCAGTGCGCCAAGTGAAATTCTGGATAAATGGGAAGAGTTTCGGACAGATAATGGGAACACCCCTAGCGAGATGCATCGGCTAGAGGATGCGACGGAGGAACGCAACCAATATCGGAGCAAAGAAAATGATCGTGTTTCCCCGAGTAGTGCCGACTCCGAGTCTGTGAGGGATAATAATAGTATACGGGCTACTAGGGAAGAGGTAGGAGTAGATGGCGAAATCGACGAGGAAATCGATGATGAGATAACTTCTGCTATGCTGAGCAAGGAAGCAGAAAGGATTCTTGAAAATGCGAAGAAGAGATTGACAGTTTGTTTTCCCCTTAGCTCTATAGTGTTTCTCTTAGATTGGATTGATCCTGTACAAAGGAGCAGAAGGAAAACTGACAGGTCATGATTACATCTAGCATATGGAGGGTAATCTCAGTCGAGCTCGCACCTCATTTCGCATGACTCCGTCGCCGTCTCTCCTAATAGGTACAGTACCTCTCAGCCACCGTCAATCCACAGGTAACATGGGCAGATCATATTCTACCACGGAGAGGCGGGCTCAAACTAGCCTTGCTGGAGCGCTAATGCGCCAAAGGGTTTCCCAAGATTTGAGTGCAAACAGTTCACATTCTAGGGGTTTGAGCGATATATCAATACAATCAGCGCAAAATAAGAAAGCCAATAGACCATTCCGCTCTTTCAGTGCGCTTGGCTCAACCAATGCCTCAGGGTTTGGAGCGAATGACACCTCCTCTAGCAATGATCATTTCGAACCCCAAGCTGCATACAAATCGCCAGTGTCTACGTTCAACTATATTCCTGAAGATCCATCTGAGCCCGCTAGCCACAATGTTTCGCAGTCCGATTCCCCGCATTCAAAGCGCGACTTACCGCCCACCCAACAGGATAATCAGCTTGAAATTACACCTCCTGGGGGTGCGAAAGCCGTTCCGAAAATTTCATCAGTGGAGGAATTTAATGCTACGTACCCAGCCAGAACACCCTCCCGGTCCCAATCACAGCTCCAAGTACGTGGCCTTCAAGATCAGATGCAGGATCTTAAAAGCAAGATCTCTACCCTCAAGGTGCAGGCTCAGGAGGATAACCTTCGCCGACGGAGTCTCCATAGTCTTCGCACTCCTAGCCCCTTCACAGCAGCGGAGCAGTGGTACACAACTGCTAGCGAGTACGTCGGTACCCAGGGTAAAGGTGCGGATGGCGTCCGAAACGAACAAAACAACGAGAGAGACACAGTTGAAGACACAGAAGAGCTACACCAGGCTCCAATCAATAACACTGATCCTTCTTCTGCTCCTGCCGTGATAGAAAATTATAAACCGCCAAACGTCTCGGTTACCGATCGTCCAGACGACCAAAAATCGATAGTGGCCAGTCTTTACGAGGATGCCGATGACAAATTCGACAATTCAGATGATATTGACCGAGTTGCTCTCGCCGAGATCCTAAATGAACCCCTCGGTAGCCCAGTATCCTCTGACGACGGGCTATATGAAGACTTTCCGCCTATGCCTGTCGTAACTGAATCTACACGGCACGAAGATCGCGAGGATGCGTTTGACTATGAGCATTTTTTCCTACACAGTGCGTTGGGCAATTACTCGAGAGAAAAGGCCAATCAGCGCCGTCATAGCTATAGTTCTACCGGATCCGTGGAGACTACAAGGCCAGGGAGCCAGGCAACCGTTTACTTGGACTCATCGCCACGAGGAAGACAGGGCCATATGCGGAATAACAGCGCTGACACAATATCCACGACAGCCTCGTTTGAGACGGCGACTGAAGGTGCGGAATATGATGGTTATGACGAAGATAGCAGTGATGAAATTGAGAAGGCATTGTACGGAACCTTGAATGGGAATGGGTTGAAGCATTCTCGTGGTAAGTCCCCTCAGTATCCACTAAACAAACCGAACAAAACCTACATGTACGTAGTACTAACAAGAATTCCATCAAAAAGACCTTCAATTCCGCCAACACTACGAAGACTCTCAAGTGAGCAGCCGACGGCACACTCGCGAAACAATTATCGCCACCAACGGCTCCGCCTCACCTGCTCCTCTCTCCACCGCCTCTACACCACGGGCATCGGGTAAAAAATCACTTACAATAACAACAAGGGCAGCAGTTATCACCGTACCCACAGCAGACAGAGCTCCAATGACGCATCGGCCTCAATACGTGAAGCAGCCGCACACCTGCGCTCACCAACCGTCATGATATCCTCCCTAATATCGTCCGCCGCAACACAATATTATACATCAGAGTCAGAAAATGCCCCGGTAGTGTTCGACGCGCAGCTCGGCCAGGACGACACCAAATTGATGGAGGGGCTATTTCAGAGCCTGGGCAAAGTGGCGTTACAGCTACAGGTGTCATCTAATGGCGATAAACTGTCCAGCGCGGACGAGAGATCTTCCATTCTTTTCCGGAGGAGGCTGGATGCAGCGAGAAGAGTGTTGGAGGGACAGTTGGATGTTTAATTGGTAATATTAATAGTTAGACTCTTTCTTTTCTTTCTTTTGTTTCTCCCCTTTCGTCATACGAAAGGGGGCGCGATGTGGTGTGGATGTTTTTCTATTCTTCTCTTCGTCAGTTTTTTCTTCCATATTCTCTATCTCTTTAACTACTTCTTCAATGTTCTGGATATCCCCCTTCTCTTCTTTACGTCTCTAATTTCTCTAATTTCTGCTACGTTCTCCTGATTTCTTTTATCTTTTTTATCGCTTGAGATACCTCGTAATATGGCTACTATTTGGATATAGTTAGTACTTATTACCCGTTTCCTTGGATTTTTTATTACTTTTATCGCGCCCCCTCCCCCTCACCCTTCACCGCTCCTTATTTGTCCTCTTCACTATCCCTTCATGGACCCCACGATATCCACGCCCCGCCCTCCCATCATCGCCGCCTCTAAGGCATTCTCACACCCCCTCCTTTAATCCTTTCATCGCTTGTTCTCTTTTGGTGGTAGTTTTTTGCTTCCTTTAATTTTAATTTTACCTCTACTCCATCTTCTCTCTGCTTCACTGTGTGTTAATATTGATAGATTTGGGCGGAGGAACTTTTGTGTGTTCAACCGCATCCATTGTGTACTTAGCTTATAGAGCACATATAGTCATTTGTCCTTTGATTTTTTGATTTTTTGAATGTTGGAGGTTTGCGCACGAGCGCCATCTGCTATCTAATCTAGTAATCTAGTGGTGATTTAACTATTTAAGCAATAGGGCTGGGGTAAAAACATACAACTAATGGAAAAAATATTTTATTTGACCAGGCCGCGATTCGAACGCGGGAATCTCTCGAAATCAGGGATTTAAGCGAACCTAAACCTGACGCCATAACCACTCGGCCACCTGGCCAGTTTTGGTGATGGGGCCTTTGCGGGCTTGGCCTTGATGAGCCTCTAGCTGCCTGACTCTATCCCGATAACAAGCACTCCCTACGCAGTAGACAGGAGATACTACATAATGCGAACACTACTACTGGGGTGGGAAAGTAGGCTTTTCTTTTCTGAATTTTCCCTTTCCATTCGGCATTGCAATAAATCTTCCAAGCCAACTCCTACGGAAAGAGAACAGAGTAAAAGAATCGCGATAACAACACGCCCCCCACTCTCCCTTCCCCCTTTTAAAAAAGAGGAGAGGGGTGGTGCCATCCGGATTAATTTATCATCTTCAAGGGCAACTGAAAATAACATCCCGCCTAGAAGAGTGGTGACAACAAAGAGATTGCAAGTGAGAAGGTAAGGTTGATCACCTGGACCCAAAAAAAATATTTACATGCATACATGTACAGTACATTCTATATAATATAAAGCGGCATGAAAACCAGAGGTAAAAAGATATGATATATAAAATGGGTCAAAACGACAAATATGCGCCCCAACGCCTTATCATAAAAATGTACTGAAAACCCCCAAATATTGGCCCCTCCTTTACCTTTTGTTTGTATTTTCTTTCTCTCTTTCATGCGTTTATTTCCC